AATTATAATTACACAAAAACACATATAATAAATGTCAATAAATGATGTCAATAAATGAACATCAGATAACAATAATACTATATGTATTGTATTTTTTCCATTTGACATCCAGTCATGGAGCTTTTAAAATACATCGGGATCCTATTTTCATGCTTTTCTCTGCAATCTTGAGGGCTAGAAATGTATTTTATCTAAAATAAAAGTTGGAATCCTCACATGTGCACATGAATCCTGGAATGGGGGATTTAATGAAATCATCTATTTATAGAATCATAGAATACTAGAACTGGAAGCGACCTTGAGAGGTCATCAGGTCCAGTCTCCTGCCTTATTACCATGAGACTTTTCATAAATTTTGATCATTGACATCACCACAATGGTGACAATCAAGTTAGGTACACACAGGGGCAACATGTGGGGGGCACAAGGATCATGTGTCCCCCCAGCGCTATGGATGGGAGGAACAAGGGGACAGCCAGCAGCGGGCAGGTGGAATAGCTTGGGAGTCCAGCCTCCCACACTCACCGGCAGTGGCAGGGAAAGCCCTGCAACTTGGCCTCAGCGCCCTACTCTTCTGGTGCAATGTTCCAGGGGAGTGGGTGTGACCACCCCACACTCACCAGCAGAAAGCAGAGCAACACAGCTAAGGGAGAAAAATGAACGGAGGCTGCATTGCTATGCTTCCCCTGCCACTGCCAGTGAGTATGCAGGCTGGGCCTTTATTACTGGTGAGTGGGGGGCAGACCCCTGTTGTTGGTGCCGGAGCCCCAGCCCCACTAGTCCCCTTGGTCACCTCAGTTGGAGTCAGAGTCAGGGTGAGAAAAGCTGGAGAGTGGGTGGAGCAAGGGCAGATCAGTGACAGGGAGAAGCAGGGCCTGGGGTGAAGGGGATTGTCTCAGTCCTTCCTTTGGCTGGAGAGGGTCACCAGTCACCTCTGAATATATAGATGAGGTTGGTACTTAGTAAATGGAGGGAAGTTGGGAATGACAGAGATGGAGTCTATAAAATAGGATTATAGGAATATATGATTTTATGGGCTTAACTGCAACAAGGGAGGTTTAGGTTGTCCATTAGAAAAAACTTCCTAACTGTCAGAGTGGTTAAACACTGGAATAAATTGCCCAGGGAAGTTGTGGAATCTCCATCACTGGAGATATTTAAGAGCAGGTTAGACAGACACCTGTCAGGGTTGATATAGACGGTGCCTAGTCCTGCCATGAAGGTAAGGGACTGGCCTTGATGACCTCTTGAGGTCCCTTCTAGTTCTAGTGTTCTATGAAAAACAGTGAATGGAATATGACTAAGACATACTTGATCCTGAAGTGACAAGAATACTGAACAATTAATCTAGTCAAAAACATCTTTACAACTTTCCTGATCTTATTCTACATGCTGTACTCACAATACACTTATGTCAATCACAAAAGGTGATAAACTTGTTTTATTGCCCTTCAGAGGTGCTATTGTATCCAATTAGTTTGGTGCTTCAATATTCGCTAATTGGCTGTGAAGTGCACATCATAGTTAATTACACTGTACACCACTACAGAGGCTGGAAATAATGAAGAGTGTTTTCATTAGTCAACTGGCCTAGAAAAAGTACGTGCATTTCAAGCCCTAATCCTGCAAGTTTTGTGCAAGTGTTGGAAATGAGAAAGATGTAAACCTTTGCAAATACTTCAGTGTGTTTTAAGGAATATACAGTAACATTCCTCTGTCAAAACAGTAACATACAGGAGTCCATGAAAGCTATGCTTATTCCTTGAAGGAAGAAAGTGAATATAGAAAAAAAGCAATGTGACTGTATGACCGATGAAATAATCTCATTATGGTAATAATAATTAATGATAAGTTAGGCACTTGAAATCAATGGGCAGGTGCATAGAACCTTTGAAAAGCAAACCAATAGGGCTTCACATGTTCAAATTTGTTCAATAAGGAAAATCCACTAATTTCCACTCCAAAAAATACATACAATGAGGTATGAACATGAGAAAGAGCAAGACTCTTATATTCAGTGTTCATCCGAAAGTATCTCCAAACTTGGCCAGATTGACATTTATACAAACGCCCCTTTATGAGTCACTGGCCATTTAAAGGGACTTAAAGGTGCTGGGAACAATAATGTGAGTGATCCTTAGTGTACACTAGAATCTGGACTAGTGAGACTAAATTCTGCTTCACCCCCCTTTAACCAACTAATTTTGTTGATTTATTGAGTGGCTTTCTTGAGTAGATGCTTAAGACAGGCTTCAATACCCTACGTTAATTTATTTTTAAATATATAAGACAAAAGTTAAAAACATTCAAAGTGAAATCACAATTTTTGTTTTGAAAACATAAATATTGAATGGTTTTCTTCTGAAACAGAATATATCAACCTGACTGCAAAGCATTTTGATTTCAATAGAACTACATAATCCAACATTTCATTGAAATTCCTCTGAGAAGCTTTATTTCTTAATTCTTGCAGGAGTTTCACTCTGCAGCTCCACACAGAATTCAGACTAGAGACTGCTTTTGTGCCAGGCCAATTAAAAGAGGGAAGGAGAGATGAAAGAGAGAATTAGAAATACACCATTTCTTCATCAGGCATTTCAAGTTGAGGCTTCAGATCTTAACATGTCTGGTGGTACAAAAAGACATGGGAATTTGTTTATAGAGTGCACTACTAGAAAAAATTTTGCTTTGGCATGTCTGCACAAATAAAATAAAAGAAATATGACATTGGTTGCTAGCAATTTAGCAAATTTGAAATGGCTGTTTCTCCTATGGAACTATAACAAATGTGATTTATCCACCCAGTAAAATATTTTTTTCATTTAAAATCCCTGACTTTATTTCACGTTTTGCCAGTAGTATTAAAACAAAAAGAAAGTTAAACCTGAAATATGCATCACTTCTTGCAGTTTGAACTTCCACTATTATATGCTGAAATTTTATTTATGAAATATTCATCCTAAAATAATTATGGTATTAGCACAAACTATCTTTCCATTTTCTATTCATTCTCTTTATTTGATTTTTTTGCAGAGAATTATTTCAAATTGTGGAATTTTTTTCAGCAAAATTCCAAAAAAATTTTCAGCTGGTTCATTATATACATTTTATAGCTTCTCAATGATTAATAAAATTGCACCTAAAGGATAACTGGGCTGTGAAACTTTGCAAAAACAGATTTTGTTTTTCTCCACAGTGACTGGGTGGTTTAATTTTGTTTGTTTGTTTGTTTTGCTTGGGGTTTTTTCCCACCAAAAAACTGCTTACTCTTCTGCATGCATAATTGTGCTTATGCACACATGTACAACACACTGTTTACATATTTATCAATTGCATGCATGGGTAAAATAATTTACAACTTGTACAGGTTACATTTTAAAATGTGTGGAAACATATTAATGTATAAACTTATCTAAAAATGTTGCATGTAGTTCTCAAGTCTCTAGGGCTGTGTCCAGACTCAGGGGTTTTTTCGAAAAAAGTAGCCTTTTTTCGAAAAAACTTCCCCTGCGTCCAGACTCAAGCCGCGTTCTTTCGAAATTAATTCGAAAGAACGCGGCTTTTCTTTCGATGGCGGTAAACCTCATTTCACGAGGAAGAACGCCTTCTTTCGAAAGTTCCTCTTTCGAAAGAAGGCGTTCTTCAATGTAAATAGGGCTTCTTCAAAAGAGAGCATCCAGACTCACTGGATGCTTTCTTTTGAAAAAGCAAGCCGCTTTTTCGAAATTTCTCCGTGCAGTCTAGACGCTCTCTTTCGAAAGAGGCTCTTTCGAAAGATGCTTTCGAAAGAGCCTCTTTCGAAAGAAGCCTGCAGTCTAGACATAGCCTAGTATAAACCATACTCTTTCCACATGATTTAAATTTTATGGTTATATCTAGACTGCAAGCTTCTTTCAGAATAAGCTTTTCTGGAAGAGATCTTCCAGAAAAGCTTATTTTGAAAGAGAGTGTCCACACAGCAAAAGTGTAACGAAAAAATGACCTGCTTTTTTAAAAGATAGCATCCACATGGATTGGATGCAATCTCGCATTCAAGGCCACCCAGAATCAGTTCAGGCAGGGCATTAGGTCAGCAGTTGTTTCTGGGTGCTATTGACTGAGGCTAGCTAAGCCGCATGCTTAAAGGGATCCCCCCTGTACAGCCTTTTTTCAGCTTCTGCTGCTTGCTCGCCTTCCTCTCCGAGGGTCAGCAAAGCTTTAGCAGTGCGTGCTCTGGTTGCCCAGCTTTTGAATGCCACAGCGTATTCCTTGCCATAGAGCCGGAGCTGCCTCCGAGCATGCGATTGTCCCACACTGCCATGCTGCAGTTTCTGCAGCAGTTTGTGCAGGCTGCCTTCATGGCCCTGCATGAGCTCAATGCCAAGCTCATCATTGAAACCCTCTCCCTGTTTGTGGGAGCAAGGCTCTTGCAACTGCACTCCACAGTGGAGAGACGCTTTTGGAGGCTCAATACCAGTTCTGACTAGTGTGACCTGCTGGTGATGGAACGGTGGGACGACCATCAGTGGCTCTAAAACTTCTGCATGCAGGAGGCCACCTTTTTGGAGCTGTGTGCCTGGCTCGCCCCTGCTTTCCAATGATGTGACACTCACCTGCGGCCTACCATCCCCCTGGAGAAGCGGGTCACCATCTGAAATTTTGCCACCCATGACAATTACCGGTCTGTGGACAACCAGTTTGGTGTGGGAAAGTTCACCATCGGATCCCTCCTTATGGAGATAAGGCACTTTTGGGCTGCAGTCCCTGGAGCGGGGGAAGTTCTGGAAAGGGAGACCCTAGGGAAAGGGTGGGTTGGAGGTGCAGAGGTGGGAGGAGAGCCTCATCCCTGCCAGGTTCTGACATCCCGCTCTCACACAACCTTGTGGGGAGACGGCCTCATAGGCTGTGGCTCCTGCATTGTTTGAGGGTGGGGGAGGTAAGGAGGGACTCAAGGACCTCCCAAGGGCTCAGGCACCCCCTCTGATTCTCTGTTTTGTGTGTTTCTTTGTCTCCTTCTACAGATGAGGAGGGCCATCACCTCTGTCCTGCCTTGGAGACCTGGACCCCATCATGGCCAGATTTGCTGCCCTGGGCTTCCTCAACTGCAGAGGGATCATTGATGGTACCCATATTTCCCTCCATGTACCACAACATCGAGCCACCCAATACAGAAACTGCAAGGGCTATTTCTCCATGGTGCAGAAGGCCCTGGTCAACCACCATGGACAGTTCACGCACATTTTTGTTGGGTGGTCAGGCAGGGCATGTGACGCCCACATTTTTAGGAATTCCAGCCTCTACAACAAGCTGCAGGCTGGCACATTCTTCCCCTGGCATGACTTTGGGGTTGGGGACGTGCAGATGCCACTGTGCATCATGGGGGACATGGCCTACCCCTTATGCCATGACTGATGAAGCCCTACACTAGCCACCGAGCAGGAACCAATTCAATGCCCACCTAAGCAGGGCCCGTATCCAGGTTGAATGCACCTTTGGGGAACCGAGGGGAATGTGGTAGTTAAAGCCACAAGGATGGCAGGGGAGCAAGAGCAGATGGAGGAGGAACACAAACACAATTTCATTCAGAATTTTTTATACACAATGATTAAAAATTTATTCAGAAACCAAGACTCTAAACTTGATCTCCTGAAAATCAATGTTAAGAGAGCCATAGAATTTCATAGGAGCAACATAAGCTCCAAAATTATTGACCGCTACTGCTAATGTCATGTGTTAATAGTCCAGGTGTCTGGTTTCATAATCTTTCCTTATCTCAAACACTGGGTAAACTCAGACAGACCCAGACATAATCTGTACTGAAGCAGGACCAGTTTGACTAATCACAGCTATACATCAGTCCCATGATGCTCTGTGTTATTCTAGCATGCAGCATAACACAAGATAGCACATGTTAAACCTACAATCTTCCAGCTGCCTGGTGCAAGCTGAGCTAGTTTTGACCTTGCCCGGTCATCATTTCCTCTCCATAACAGTTACAGAAAGATATCTATTCCTAAGCAAATAGCAGTGGCTCTGACCTCTTCTTTAGTCACCCTTCAGTCTACCCACTTTCAGGATGTCTCTCTGTATTTTTACAGCTTGTCAGAATTCCTTGAATTAAAGATAGTGATAGTGACATAAACCAGACTAATGCTAACAGAGAGGATCCTAATTTAATAAATCTAAGGGTACTAACACAGCTTCTTATATTATTTTCTGGTGAGATGAATCCTCATATGTTTTTCTTTCTTTCTTTCTTTCTTTCTTTCTTTCTTTCTTTCTTTCTTTCTTTCTTTCTCTCCTCCCCAGCTGATGTAATTCAAAGTAGCCCCATTGCTATGGCAAGAACAAGTCTGATTTACACCATCTGAAGATCTAATTATTACATTGGCAGTAATACATTAATACATTGGTGGTAACTTTATAAGAGAAAAATAAAAGCCATGCATTTCATGTCACTGCTAGAGACCAAGAAAGGAGAAAAAATAGGCATCCAGAATGCAGTGAAGTTACTATGATTAGAAAGATAAACTATAGTTGTGGGGAGGGGAGCTAAATAAGCACAGCAGGGCAAACTTTGGGCTGAAGGAAACCATTAGAGATAATAGGTCATTCATTGATCTTAAGAGAACTGGTAAAAACAATCATAGTCTATGAAAATGTGTCCCTTTTTTATCAGCTTGTTTAACTTTTTAAAATTATCTACCTTTCTTACTAATATGTTTTTGTTTAATGCCCATCATAGAAGTATATTGGTGCCTGTAATGAATATAGGGCCTATGCAGTCTTTTCCTTTTCATTTAAACATGAGGAAGCCCTCAGCTCACAAAAGATATTGATGAGGTAGGCCAGAAGGTGTCTAGTACAAGTGCTCAGTGTCTCCAGTGAAGTTCTTAATGTCTTCCACTCACCCTGTAGTAAACATTGGAAAGGTAAAGCCCAGAATCAGCTTTGCCTTCTCATGGTATTCTCCCCTGAGTTGCTGTGGAAGAAGCTATCAATTTATCTCTCTATTTTAGGACATGCCCATCAGTGTAGTAATTCTCATGAGCCCTGCTCCTCCCTCCCTCATAATTTCTGCCCTCGCCTCTGGAGATGTTTTATGTTCCACAGAAAGACTTCCACAGATTCAGTACAGAGCTGGTATAATAATGACACTTAAACTTCTTTTGTCATCTTATAGTCTTACTAGTCCCTTGTGGTTGGTGCTTGTCCACCTTTCATCACCTGCACTCATAAAAGTGAGGATATTTTGTCCCTCTAATAGCAATGCCACAAGATATACAAGATACACATTTTTGTAGCTATTTTCCTTATCACTGAGACACAGTGACTTCAAAGAGAGCTTGTTGATGTGAATCATATTTGAAGATAATTGTAAATGGCCTTTCCAATTTCATTTGAACCATATATTTGAATGAAGAAAAAAATGATTCTTTGATTAAAAAGAAATTGAAATCCAGTTAGATTACACTTTCAAGTTTTATCAGGTCCTCAAAGATCTGTAGAAAGGTTTTTTTTTCCAAAACAAAAAAATCCACAGCACGTACATCCCCATTCCTCTTTGCTATGAAATGTGGTTTAGCAGTGGGAGCAGGAGACCAACAGTCGAGGCTCCTGGGTTATATTTTGAACTCCACCACTGATGCCATCTCTGAATTTGGGAAAGTCATTTAACCTCTCAGTGCACCAGTTAACCCCTTTGAACACAGTGCAAATTCCCCACGGTGGAGTGCCAGACACAATTGTTTTTCCTGTCCTCTCCAAAGCACAGAGGCTCTTTTAGCTTATGCCCTTGTAGCTGCTAATTACCTTAAAGTGAGCAGGGAGGAAATGGGCCTATGACCTGTATTAAGCCATAGAGCTCATCAGCTGTGGATGGGAGGGCTTAATTGCATCATCCCGAGGGATACAGCTATGGATTCTTCTGCACTCTGGAACACTCTCTTAAGCCACTGTGGTTGGGAGGCTCCAGAGATGCCAACTTTGAAATTTCCCTGTGGAAATCTACCCCAGGACTTGCCTCTATTCCACCCATTCTCCCCAGCTCCCATCCCACATCTTCCCACCCAATCCCACCCTGCCTCTTTTTGCCTCTGCTTTGCCCCTCCTGCCCCCTAACACCTCCTATATGTCACTGAATCCGTGGGGCTGCTGGCACGTACTGAGCGTCCACTATTTTTCCCCTATAGGTGCTTCAGGCCCAGCACACCCGCAGAATTGATACCTATGGAAGGCTCTAAACTACCTCCAGTGAAGGCATATTCCTTAATGGTATAACCTGGCTCTCAATTGGTCAGTAGGATGCATTCTTGTTGACATTAAGGCCCCATTGCACTACATAATTATGCCCACTGTAAGGCCTCTTTGCTCTGACAGTGTCAAGTAAAGAGGCCTCAGAGCACATCTACAAAGCAATAAAAGACCTGCAGCACAGCATAGGCTAGCTGAGTTGAGCTCACAGGGCTTGGGCTGCCAGGTCTACAGTGCAGATGTTCAGTCTTGAATTGGAGCCTGGGCTTTGAAATCCTGCAAGGAGAGATGGTCTCAGAGTCCAGTATGAAACATCCATGTGTCTATTTTTAGTCATGCAGTGCAAGCCCTACAACCCCAGATCCACTGATGCAGGCGCCGAGATTTGATGCTCCAGCTTTTGTTGCCGTGTAGATGTAGCCTTAATGTAACTGAGAAGCAGGCCTAGTATTTGCAAAGTGCTTTAAGAGGACCCTTGTTTTATAAGTGAAAAGTATTATTATCTTTCAACTGGCTGTCAGTTGAAGGTCTCCTCAGCACCTCTTCCTCTTGGCTGGCTGGAAATATTTGGCCAGAATCAATCAACACTTAGGTAGAGTGAATTGACAAGAGTGTATGACACAGCTATTCAAATTATCTCTCTTAGAGGGAGTGTTAGAATGAAAGCTACACTACTCCAAAGCTCTCTAACCTGTTTTCACTCTACAGCTATTTGATGTATAAACTCCAGGCAATGAGAGGCGCTATACATGGGGGAATGGGTACAGTTAATAGGATGAAATTAAAAAAAAGAAAATTTAAGATAAATATTATAAAACACTTCTTTGTGATGACATTCAGAACGTTGTGGATCAGACTCCCACAGGAAGTGGAGAAAGTCCCATTGCTTTAAACAATTAAAACAATCCTAGACAAAGCATTAGAAATTTCACTGTATAAAACAATCTTGTTAAAGAACCAACAGGTCTTTTCTATCTAGATCCAGAATTCCTTTCTCAGTAATTAATGATAAAGATGTTGAAATAGATTGGAGTTTTTCTGAGTAAGGAACTGAGGATTTGTCCTCAGGAATCTATTATTTGCTCATCAGAAACAGAGATGATTTGTCCAAAGTTTGAGTTTGATGACCCATACTACTATTGGTGTGCTGAGACTATTTCCTGGTCAATATTGTCACATTATTTCCTTGTACTTTCCCATCTATCTTTAGCCATTTGTTTTCTATTGTCTTATACGTAGGTTGTAAGCTCCTTAGTCAGGACTGTCTCTTTGTTCCGTGTGTGTGCAGCACCTAGAACCAGCAGGGCCAACAGCCTCACTGGGCCACTGGGCAAGACTAGGAGGTGGGGCGGGGGGAGGGGATGCATCTACTCCATGCCCCCAGAAGAAGTAGGGCCTTGGGTGGAAGGGGTGGGGCTAGGACTAGGCTATCTTCAGTGCCACTTGAAGAGCACCTTGCCTTTCCCAAGCAACCCTCAATGCTGCCCAGAGCACAATGTGGTGCTCCAGAAGAAATTTAAAGAGCCCAAGGCATCCACTGTTGTAGAGAATCAACAAGTATAGTGCTTTGGCCGCATGACAGAGCATCCCAAGGACAAAACCAAGCAAGAGTCCTGAGCCAACAATAACAACATCTGCCCGAGTCAACGACCTTCGAGAATGCTGTGTTGGGGCTGTGAAAAAGCACAGTTTGTGAAAAAGCAGGATGTGGACTTTTGGGAAGTTGAGAGGGTATAAAGATAGTTGTAATCTTGCAATAAAATGATTTCGTGCTTGCACCGGCCGGAGTCTGTGCCTTCATACACCACACACTGTTGCCACAGTAGCAGCAGAGGCATCTGGGAACTCTGGGATCTTTTGTATTACCAGCCCTGGGGAAGTTGTCTCATCCCCTGCCTTGGCAGCCCTGACTGGCACAATGGGATGTTAGTCCAGGGCTAGTGTTTCAAGGTACTACAGTAATAATAATAATAATAATAATAATAATAAATAACAAAGACACATGAAATCAATTTATCAAAAGCCCCAGTGAAATTAAGGCTTAGTGAAAATTATTAAATATGACTACATAACATTTCTGCATCTGATTTACCAAAAGTGAAACAGCAACCACTAGTCATATGTTTCACTCT